CATAATTCTGGAACTGCATAAAATGTTTAGAAACAGCGGAGGCCATATTATATACAGTGGACTTAATTTGGACGTTTTTAAGACGTCTAACTAACCAAAATTTCGTATTTTATTTAATTAATTTTAAATGGACCTAAATGAGAAAGAGGTTATACAATGTATCCCAGATTCGCTTCCCTATTCAGTGATTTAAGCTTCTATTATACTTACAGCAAAGGTTAAATGAGGAAAGTTTTAGAGGAAACTTTGATGGGATTTTAAATATCGCCAAAAAAGGCCGGATTTCGTTTTTTGACAGTTAATCCAATACGCTTAGGTGTCAAAATATGACATTAGTCAGACACTTGATATTTTTAACAATAACATTAATAAGTAACACATGTCTTTTTTTATAAAGAAAAATTTAGAAAACTCTGGTAATTCCATTATGACTTGAACATCCTACAGCTTCACAGATTTGCAAAATAACGTCCATTTGCATCGAGACATTTTTGGCAGTTAGTGACTGTGTTTCATACAACCCTAGCAAATGGATTGTCTCGAGGTTTCTGTAATCTGGGGAGGATAAAAAAAATTCATAGACCTTATTTTTTGTATGATCCCAGAGGAAGAAACGCAAGGGAAAAAGGTCAGATGATCTAGGAGGTAAGATATCAGGCCAATTTATTTCATTAACTGGTTTGATATCTTTAACCCTTGCATTTCTTCCTCTGGGATCATACAAAAAATGAAGTCTATGATTTTTTTTATCCTGAAGAAGAATTATTATTCTATCGTCAAATTTCTCGCCTAAGAAGTCACTGACCTGAATAGTGTTACATTTATGATTTTAATAAGAGAATTGAATTATTTATCGCCAAAATTAGATATCAAATAAATCATGACCTACTGATTAAATAATTAAGAACCAATTTTACGAATTGTGATAAAATCCTTTGTGCACTTGTAAGACGTCACTAATGCAAAAGTTTGTATAAATAATAACAATGTCCACTGATATTTTTTCAAATAGCTCGCGCACCCTGTATGATAGACAAAGCCTGAAACTCTCCCTCCATACATGTTTTATAGTTTTTCATTTACGGCTAATAATTTACCCACGAAAACGACAATTTTCATGATCTTTTTTTTTTTTTACCCAAAATCGACGCACCCTGTACATAATCCAAAAAATAACTGAAGTAAAAGTTATAGCCCTGGATCTCCGACGTTTCCTGGAATATGATTTCTTCCAATAGAGTAAGTGATTTTCAAGGAAATACTTGTTGTTGTTGTTGTTGTTGTTGTTGTTGTGGTAATAGTCAATGACGTCATCGCGTCTAGATTGAGAGCGAGATCCAGCGACTGTCACATGAACTTTTTCAAATATCTCAAGAAGCGTGTGCGATAGACGAAAACCGTAATTACAGAAATTATAGCTCTTGATGCGGCCTTCATTACTGTATAAAGCAAATAGAAATATTTTTTTCTCGAATTTTGATTTGCGGCTAATAATTGAATGGCTAGAGGAACAAGTCTTTTAGATTTTTGTTCGCAAGTGCCAAAAATAAAAGTTATAGTGCTGGACCTTCCGAGTTTTTTGGTTCAAGAATTTTGAATCGGGCGAACAGTTTCAGAGAAAATAATTTTTTTTTGGAAGCCAAAATCTGTCCAAAATTTTTTTCAAACATTTTTAACAAACACTTCTCGATATTTGATGATGCCCAGTTTCATCATTTTAAATGTAAGTGTGGACTTCTCTCTGCCCAATCTGAAGTTAGTAACTGCAAATTTAGGGCACCAATTACATTTTTTAATATTGCAAGAAATAGGTGAAACCGTAAAATACAAAAGTTTTAGCTGTGTATGCGGGCTTTATTGTCATGTAAAAGAAACTGATATCTGAAACACAGTGCTTTAGTTGTCGACCTATTATTTTCATTAACAGGAGGATCCATTTATCAGTTTTTTTTAATTTGCGGCGCACCCTGTATATTTTTGAAAAATTATCAAGAATAAAAGTTTACGGAGCCAAATCTTCTGCGTCTTCTCGTTCATGAATGTTTTCGGTTCCGTAAATGGTTTTCGCGAAATGATCTTTTCCTTTGACCTTTGCAAACGCAGTTTTTAATTTTTAAAAAATACTTCCCTACCCCCCCAGCCCCCCAGTTTCAACACGTTCCGTCACGGAGCCAAGCTTCATATGTGTGCCAAATTTGAAGTCGATAACATCAAATTTCGCATACTTTTCGCGTTTAGCCATATTTTTAACGGATTTTGATTTGCGGTTAATAATTTATTCCCAAAAAGTACAATTTTCACGGTCGTTTGGATTTTTTCCACAATTCAAAAACCCTGTATATAATCGAAAAAATGCCTAAAATAAAAGTCATAGCTCCAGATCTCCCGCATTTTCTGTCCCAGAAATTTTGCTGATCGGTTGAATAGTTTTTGAGAAAATCTTGTTTTTCTAGAAAAACAAAATTAAAGAAAATTTTTCAAATTTTTTGAAAAAATATTTGGTGACATTTCACTACTCTCAATTTCTGCTGTTTAGATGTGCGTACGGACTTTTACTTCCTTGCCAAACTTGAAGTCGATGACTACATATTAGAGACACCTATGACGTTTTAGAATAAAGCACAGAATATTCCGAACACCCTGTACAATGTGTGAAAACCTTAAATACCAAAGTTCACAGAATCACAGCCTTCTAGTTATGGCCAATTATCAATATAAAGGGAGCTCAATTTACAGTTTTTTGTAAATTACCGACGTACCCTGTACATTTTTAAAAAATCATCAAGAATAAAGGTTTTTGGTCCGGATCTTGCGCGTCGTTTGGTTAAAGAATTGAATCTATCGCATATACCGTCTTGCAGAAATGATTTTTTTTCTCGATACCCGGCAAGTGCGGTTTTTAATTTTTAAAAATAATTCCCGACCCCCCAGCTCCCCCCCACCCAAAGTGTCAATAGGCTTCGTTGCGGAGCTAAACTCAATTTTCAAATTTCAAGTGGATGGCTTCAAATTTTTTCCCACTTATCGTGTTTCATAGCGAAGTCCAAAAAACAGACAAAAATCTAAAAAAAAAAATGGACGCCGTGGTTTGAGCGCACCCATTTTTTACTGGTTTGCGTAGCTCGTGTACGACTTAAAAGGAGCCAAATTTGAAGGTCGTGCTGCAAACCGTTCAAAAGATATAGCCAATTAATGCCGGATCTACAGAGAAACTTAAAACGGATAACGGAGAACAGAAAAAAAAATATTTTTTTTCGACCGTTGCCGAGATACAAGTTTCGTTGCCAAGCGCGTATACTCTTGACGTTTGCAATATTATTCGAGTTGCAAAACGCGTTGTACAACATAACGGGCTTCTGCTGGTGTCGATTGTGCCCCAATATCCACCCATGGGGGCACTTGATAACGCCGATCGCTCTAATTACTTTTTATCTAAAACGCCACTGTCGCGTGTTTGGCCAGTAATTGAATTTTTTTCTTTTGAAACGGTTTAATTGGCGACAACTGCCGCAATTAAAAACAGCTGTGCGCCCGGTATATTTTCTTGCGGGCCGTTATCGATCCCCGCAGAGGGCGCTACTGGTCCGGGGGAAAGTATAGTAGTGGGTTTTCCGCGATTTTCTCGCCGCTTAGTTTTCCATTAACTCTCGCGATTGCCGAGTGCCTCCCGGAGGTAACAGGTAACGCATTGTTTGAAGGGATAGTAGTGTAAATGCGTGGGTTGAAGTATAGTCTGGTTCAAATTAGACGGGTTGACCTATATTGCATTAAATCAACGTTGTGAACATCTTCAAAATGAGTGCTATATTTATATCCACATATTGAACATTGAATAAAATTCCGTTTAAGGTGATTACTGTGCTTTTTTAAAGAAACCAAAGCAGATTCATTTCTTTCAAAAATTTTCTTTTTCAAAACAAAATAAATAAGAATTAAAAGTTCAGATTTTCACGAAATTATGTATTTTAACATGACAATTGTTTCGACAACACCGTGTAATATTTACAAACTACCTGCTACTATATATGCTGAAAAATGACCATAAAACCTTAATTAATGTTTTTGTAAGAATTTAAAAGGAGAAGCATTTCAATCTAATTGAACGTTTGTTAATCTCCATGGCTTCCAATAAATTTAATTTTCTGCTTTTTGTGGCTGTATGTAAAATATCAAAATTGTCGTCAAAACTTTTAGTTCATATTTATTTTGATAAATGGATTTTCATCAAGTAAAAGCCACCTCAGTTCAATATTTCGAACCAAACTGTACCGCGCCTGCTGTTAGAGTTCGCTAGACAAGCTTGGTAGTACTATTTGCAAAACGCCATTTTGTTGGCAACTCTTTGGCCGCTAGTATTTTAGTACCGGCTTCGGAATTGCTGTTTGATTTTTGTATACGGCACTTTGAACGATCCCGCAATATGATACTTGCGTTAAATTTCTAAATTGAAGCGGTTACAGGGATACGGAAAAAGAAATGAGTTCCTTTTTAAAAATTTGGGTACCTGGTTTTTTAAATGCAACATCGGCATCTTAAATGGCATATAATTTATTACATTTTTATGTTCATTATTTCTGATTAATACTTTTTCCTTTATTTTTCTTTCTTTTTTAGCTTTACTTTAGCTGCCATTTGAACTTATAGAACGCTGCAATTTTGGTTGCTATTTCCAAAAGCCTCGTAATACTCCAGAATGTTTATTTTTTAAATGTGTATTATTTAAAAATCAAGTAATAAATAAATTTCCCTAAAAATGGTATGTAATGGTGGCGTACCTTAGTAGTAGTAAAGTAGTAAAGTTTCTATCTAGTTTGATTCTCTGTATACGCCTAACCTACTATCGTTATCCTTTTGATTCTGTACTCTTCTGTTAAATCGAAAATAATTACAATTCAACGTCTTTTATTGGCGTGAGAGGTCCCTACACACTCTTCGGTTTTCTTATATACGTTTTACTGAAACTTTCCTGATCAGCTATTACGTAGCAGCATTATACTCTTAAATTATGTATTTTTAAAAAATTGACACTCAAAGGTGTTCTTGTTAAGTGAAAAACGAAATATTAATTAACTACTGCTGTTTTATTAGCAATGCTGGAGCATAATTCGTTAGTTTCAGTAATATTTCTTGATATTCGTGGCTTTACTGGAGCAAGGATAGAGGAGAAGATCCTAGTATGGGCTCCCTTTTATTCTTCGTTGATAGAGTATTTTGTGTGTGTGTGTGTGTGTGTGTTTGTATAAGGAAATGCAAAATAAAAACTACATTTCGAAACAAAACACTAGCAGAGTAAGATCTAGCTAAAAGAAAAAAAATCTATAAAAATCGCAAACAAACCTATTTCCAAAACATTGCTCATGTGCTCAAATGCAGAATATCTTCCTTGTCATTGTCTTCATCAGCTGGAAGAACTTCTTCATCGTCTTGAACTTGTTTTTTGTTTGTTTCCAATGCCCCTTATTTTCCTTTGTGGGCGGTATTAGTAAAATTTTGCAAGGATCTTTTTAATTCTACTTTGAATGCTGAAGAAGTGACGATTTGCGACTTGGTAGATTTTCTTCTTAAAGTACCTTTGCAATATAGATCTCGGAACTTAGTAGTTTCTAGTTATTAACTGCTTCTATCTATTTTGGTTTCGTTCTGGGAAAAATTGTAATTAGAACAGTTTCAAATATACACACTCGCAAAGTTCATATAATCCAAACACAATCACAAAATTACTAATTCAGAATATTAGAAAAGAAAGTAAACAAATTCGGGGATGCATTCGTTAACAACTAATCATCGACTATACGACCACCAAGTTTTGTCCAACATGCTGTATTCGGTATTTATTTCCCTGTATTTGACTTCTACCCTGAATATTTCTGATTTGGCGTGCAGCACGGCAAGAAAAATAATTCGGGACCCATCGTAAAAACTAATAGTCGGACGGGACCCTACGCATTCCCATATTGATTAAACAAAGAGTGAGAAATCTTGATGCGACCTACTTTTTTCCGTGTCAACCGCGACTGTTCAATAGAGACACGAAAAATTCGTGATTATACTCGTGGCCTAATGGGCCCGCCACATTGTTTTTTTTTTTATAATTAGACTATTTCGGAGCCCCCCGCCCTTTCACGAACCCCACCCCTAAGTAGACCGCAAAACTCGTTAGCTAAAAAGCTCCTTTCCGCTCAGCTACCGAAGTATGTATATTATCCACCCCCCTCATTTGTAGAGGCACACCCTTACGTAAAATTGTTGGCAGTAGAGGCGCCAGTTAGCGTACGAAGTTGTAAAATGAGCATATAGAAGATCACTTCTACTTGTAGAGTCGATAGAGTCTATGCAGGATTGTCCTGAAGTCGAACGAGAGAACCGACCGCGTATTTTACAGTCTGTTCATTGGCATGAGAGAGTAACGAAACGATATAAGGTAGCTGCAAGCTAGTAAAACTCAGTTTTTAGCTGGTTTTCTAATATTACATATTATCTTATATTAATGTGTTTTAAATAAAAAACAAGCTAAATAATTTATTATTTTTTTGATGAGGAGGAGGACTAGGTTGTTTCTTTTGCGATCATTGTTATATTACAGTTATATTTTACTCTATCACTGACTCCAGAATTGTTACAAATAAACTACCTAAAACTTCGTCGACAGGACCTATGTATGTCTCTCTCTTTTTGATATGTCAAATGAGTGTGTCAGTCATAGTTTATTATTGCAAAAGTTGTCTTCTATCGGCTTGTCAGAGTCCTTCATATCTCTTTTTGAATCGTATTTTACTGATCGTACCTCGTACCTGGTAGTACCTCTTCTTTTTTACCCCAGCGTCACGGTGTCCCGCGAGGATTGCTTTTGGGTCCGCTCCTTGTCCTCATTTATATAAATGATGATGACGAATGATCAACTATACACTATTTGCAGACGACACCACAAGTATCTGCGGGAGCTCGTCTCTAAACGAATTAATCGGTAGAAATAAACCGAAATAAAACCCAAAATCTTTTAGTTCACTATTGACGATGTATCGAATTGGTCTGTTCATATTGACTCCTGCGAAAGCTTAAGCAATGTCTTCATACTCAAGTTATGGGGTCACCATATGAGGTGGATCTAGTTACGAGTGTTTCGCCTTCACGAAAAAGCTCTCCGAATTCTTCTTGGTTTCTACTATAGAGAATCCTGTAGAACACATTTTTCCAGCATTCATATTATGACTTTTTGAATTTTTACAAATTGCTTTGTAATATAAAACGCCACGGTACCAAGTCTTTGAAGAGAGCTGTCAAGAATCTACTGACAATAAACTGTTTTTACGAACCTATCTTGGGTAATTGAGAAAGCTTCGTCATTACTCTTTTCAGTAAATGTCAAAACCGTTAATCCAAGTTGTGTTTTTAAATTTTAGAACACCACTGGGTATTGGAACCGTTATGTACTAAATGTTAGCTGTCACTGGTAATACCAGCTGCAAATTCAATTCAACTGAGAACCAGAAGAAACAAGCGAAATTTAAGGAAAAACACTTTTTTTCTTTCTCTCAAATATAAATATAAACTTTTTTATTTGAAAAATTTCCATACTGTATGCTGCAAATGGAATAAAATACATGAGGAAGTTTTCCAGTTTTTTGCCAGTTTTTTCGATATTCGGTGCCACTAAAAAAATTCGTAACGGCCCATTTCGTACGTACAATAACCTAAGTAATGATTTGGGTTAAGTTTCCGCTTTTTTATTCCACCATTAGGATTTCCTCCGCATTTCGTATTTACCGGTAGCGTTTCCAAGGACTATCTTGCATTTTCTTCTATCGTAAGAGCACACAAAAGTATACTCGACGCAGCCAGGAACGCAGTATATTGAAATTCACAGTATAAGAGTTAGTTTAGTTAGGAAAAAGTATTCAACTAAAACGCGCCCGACGTTATTGCTTACAGTGTATCAAAAAATGTCGCAACAAATTGTTAATGGCCCTTCCGGCGACGATAGACGTATCATCGACGAAGACGTTATAACTAAACACTCGGTAAGAACTAGCAGTTAGCGCGAACACAGTTAGACTCAGCTTCGTTTTCTTTCTTCGGTTTGGTCTGCGAAATATGCGGAAGCTGACAGACAGACAGAATGATTACTGAATCATCGAGAAGGAAAGAACGCGGCTAGTCAGTCCATAAACTATGACGTCAATAGTTCATTTGACCCGTTGAATTTTGTAATGCCTCCGCCGCGTTGTTTGTAAAGCGGACATATTTAACTAACCCTATTCGAGTTCGTTAAACCCCCTTTATTCTATTATCGGGAATTGACACTATTTGACACGAGGAATATTATATGGGTGCGTGCCTCTGTAATAACGCATATGGGGTTGCATACCTACTAGTTAAGTCTCACGTAATCCGTATTGTTCCGATGATGCATTTTTCTTTTCTTTTACAAATAAATCTCCATTAGAGAATTTAAAGCCCATCATCGTGCCAAAAAATGTCGCCTTTTTTTGTGTCTTCTGAGGATCGAACCCGGGGTGACCTGTCCGGTGTTAAACATCGATTTAAACACCCATCTGAGGACCATTTCGACGTTAATATATGTCGAAGATCGTAAGAAATAATAATAAATAATGTAATGAAAAAAACGCACTTGACAACTTGTTTTACAATATACGTAGTACCTTTTGCCGCCTTTTCTTTTATTTTCACCATTTTTTTTTTGCCAACGACAAAGATTGGCGCTTCCATCTAGTATGACGGCCGCAGGGAAATACAGCCAATCGTTTGCCTAGTCACCCTTACAAGCAAAAATTTTATGTGACAAAATATAAATCAACTGTTTATGCAAAGACTGCCAAGAACTGCATCCCATTCTTTTCTCTTCTACTTTCCAAAGGCCACTAAACGCGGTCATTATAGTCAATTTCACTGTCCGAATCTTACCGAAAAGTCTTGATCCCGCTTCTGATGTCGGAGATCGTAAGAAAATAAATAATATAATAAAAATAACAAAATAGAAATAGAGAGCTGGTGGGCGAGCGAGACGACATGGGGTTATACTTCTCGGGCATATTAAAAGACTACACATGACACAGCGCTTAAAACAAATCTCTTAATTGATTATTAAAGGGAATTCAGTGATGATTCAAAAATACCAAAGTGGGTTCCATGGGTAAACAATATTACGAATGAAAGAATTATAACTGTTTAGTCTAGACAAAAAACATAGACAAAAAAATAATGTGATCTAACAAGTATTCAAATAGCGGCAACGTGATCAGTATAAATATGGCAAATGAATTGCGTTCTTTGTATTGCAAAATAAATATGTTTGATTCGTCTGACATATCTAGAGGGATCTTTTATCGGAAAAGGAAGACATTTAAATTTGCATCGAAAACTGCTCGATCCAATATTCCAAAAACGCGAAATTGATCGGACCCGCGACCTTCCACGGATATTTGTCATCGGCGTCAAATTTTATCGTTGCGACCTAAAACGATTGGAATGTAATAATATGTTCCATACGGGAGCGGGTTGAGCCTGGCACCGCCTCCAAACCAGATACCAAAGACCTTCTTCACACGAATCCGTATTGAGTTTCCAGCCTTTTTCTTCTTTAAGTAAAAAGTAAAAACGTTTTTTCTTTCTTGCACCTTTTCGTCATATTAATCAAGTCAAAATAAACATTTGAATTAGCCAGAATTCGCATAGAGCTAAAAATTACGTTAAATACACCATTATACACGAAATGTCAAAAATTCCCTTGGATTCGACATGTGCAAAAAATTATTCAAAATCAAACGTTGTACGTTGAGATTTTTTCCATTTTTCTCGAAAACGGTAAGTTTCAAAGTGAAACTAAGTCAGACAAATATGCAGACATTTCCGTATCACTTGATGCATTGTTTTATTCTACTTCTACTACTACTATTAACAATTATTTCTTCATCTTCATTTTCTTCTTCTTGGAGAATCTCCGTTCGCTGTTCTACGAAAAGGGATGCGTCAATTTTCTCTTCATCAATATCGTAACTAATTTCTTCTGTTGTACTTGCTTCAATATCGGAGCAAATCTGGAACTGAAAATAAATGCATACTGGCGAACAAAATAATCCCACTTTTTGGCAGCTACAATTTTTTCTACAACCCGTGTTGCAGTTACAGAAAATACTATTGAGCAGTTTCCCAAGTAGGTCCACTCCGCGATCTATTGTAATGAAGAAAATTTTATCAGATCCTATCCCATTTATTGAAAGTATGGTAATATTGATAACGTTCAAAGTGGAATAGGTTATTTTCTTCTAAATGTTGTTACAATAGATAATTGTCTACTCCTACTTCAATAATTATTTCTTCATCTTCATTTTCTTCTTCTTGGAGAATCTCCGTTCGCCGTTCTAAGAAGAGGGATGCGTCAATTGTCTCTTCATTAGAATCATAAATAATTTCTTCTGTTGTACTTGCTTCAATATCGGAGCAAATCTGGAACTGAAAATAAATGCATACTGGCGAACAAAATAATCCCACTTTTTGGCAGCTACAATTTTTTCTACAACCCGTGTTGCAGTTACAGAAAATACTATTGAGCAGTTTCCCAAGTAGGTCTACTCCGCGATCTATTGTAATGAAGAAAATTTTATCAGATCCTATTCCATTTATTGAAAGTATGGTAATATTGATAACGTTCAAAGTGGAATAGGTTGTTTTCTTCTAAATGTTGTTACAATAGATAATTGTCTACTCCTACTTCAATAATTATTTCTTCATCTTCATTTTCTTCTTCTTCTTCTTACCACAACCCGTATTATCATACTTCCACTTTAATCTCCTTTTAATAGTTTTATTATCTATAGTTGAATTTTTGCCAACTTTTCCTGACCCATTTTCACGATAAAACTTACCGTTTTCAAGGAAAATGGCAAAAAACTCAATTTTGTACGTTTGACCTTGAATAAAATTGTTTGCACAAGTAGAATCGAAGGGGATTTTGACATTTCATGTATAATGGAATATTTAACGTATCTGCCAATTTTCAGCTCTATGCGAATTTCGCCTAAGTTTTGATTTATTTTTGTTTATTTTTACTGGATTTTATAGAGCCGCCGCCGAAACGATTTCATCCCCCGCGCCCGTGATCGATTTCCATGCTATTTATATCACATAACTCATTACGCGGTCGCTTCGTTTAATATTTATCCGAGTTATTTGCATGTAACGTAGCCGAAACAACCGTCGATCAATTACGACGCCTCCGACAACCCCCCTCAGTCTCCCCGCGGGCCCCAGCAGCCCCCCGGCGCCGGTCAGGTCTTCAACCGACCCCCCTTGAACCGACTTGACAGCCGCTCCGGGCTCTTCAGGCCGCCGTTCCCCCACGTCCAACCCCCGAGACTTCCCCAACAACCTCCCAGGCAACAGTTCGTTCAAAGGGGTCCTCCCCCGGGACCTGGTGGACCTCAACGTCCCCCGGTGTTGGTTAGTACGTTCCCCAATGTCCTCGACAAGCTGATTAACTCCTGCAATAATCAGGCACCTAGTGGAGCCCCCGTATACCCCCAAGCGAGACCGAATTTCAGACCCCCGTTTCCGAGATCGCCTCTGCCGAATCAGAGGCCGCCCATTTTCCAGCAGAGATCTCTTCCGGCCGCGCTTGGCCCGAGGCCGTTCTTCGGCGAAGAGAGTTTGTATAGGTAACACCATCTGGGTTCGAAGTTGCTTCGCTCTAAAACGTCGCGTTGATCTGTAGATCGCAAACTCTGGATTCCTCCGAGATAGAGCTTTCGAGGAATGTGGAAAACGCGAGGGGTCCACCCGCCGAACCCAGACCGCCCTCCATAGCTTCGAATAGAAGCTACAGCGTCCCGTCCCCGAATCCTTTGCCCACCTTTCGAAGATCCGGGAGTAGCGATTCTTTGGAGGCTTCTAGACGTGGGTCCGCGGAGAGTGTCGGCAAAAAGGGAGACGAGGAGTCGTCGCGACCGAGTTCTAGAATGGACAGGATTGTCGAGAACGGAGATAAAACAGCCGACCAACCGGACAACCACGCTCAGAGTTATCCGATAATAAATAAAGAAGTTGAAAGAGATTCTTCACCCGCTAATCCGATAATAACCAAGGAAGCAAATTCGCCAGTTGTGATAAAAGGGGAACAGCAGGAGAAGGACGACGAGATGGAAAAGTTACGCGATGTAGCCAAGGCCAACGAAGAGGAGAGGAAGATCGCGGAAGATAACGCTCGCAAGGAAAACGCCAAGAAGGATATGAATTTGCAGCTGGTTTCGAAAATTAAAAAAGGTTACTATTAACGAGAGGCGACTCGACTGCTTCGCAGGGTCCCTGTGATGCTAATTACGGGTTTTGTATTGTTTCAGAAGGGGACGACAGCGGCGTCGACGAGTCCACGCAGGGAAACGTAAGTACTTTTGGATTTTTTCCCGCATTGTGCCTGTTTCGGGGGCGAGTTATCACCCGCGTTCACGTGTAATAACTAATGCTGACATGCTTGCGTGTTCGGCTGGATAATTTGCGGAAATGGAATTATACCTTCCGTGTAAGCGCGGCCAAGAATTTTTAAAGCATCTCTTCCACTATAAATTACCTTTCACGTACACGGAGACGAATTACAATAATTAATGAGTAGTTTAAACGAAACTTACGAAAGAAAACCTGTATTGTCGGTCCTGCACATCTCTTCTCGAATAGACGTACCAAGATCCACCACGGTAGATCATTAGAATAGTTTGACCATCTGCAGGATCAGTCGAGCAATGGAGACGCCAGGTCGCCTAGGAAATCGTCCAAAAGCAGGACATCGTCCACAACCCCAACCAAAAGCAGCAGGTCCTTGTCCCGGAGTTCCAAAGCACCGAGTCTACAGTCACCAGATTCGACAGTCACTACTCCCGGATCGGCTGATAAGAAAAGTAAAGTACCGAATTGTCCCACTGAAAAACCCTAATATTATTGATACGTGTGAAGTTAGCGACGAATGGCAATAAAGAAATGCTATTAAATAACAAAATTTAGGGGCGGGGGGTTAAGGCTATAAAAAGCGCCTCATAAAAGGAACCCCCTAGCTTCCGTCCAAGCTATCATAACCGCGTTCTTTGAATTAAAAGAAAGAAAAGACGAATTTTTGAATAATTCAAATGATATTAAAAATTGGTGTTAAAAGAGGAACTCTCTACCTGCCGTCGAAGGTATCATAAACCCTTACACGATGAAAGCAAAAATTTTTAAGGATATTACACAGCTGCCCCTGGCGGCTGTCGAAAACGTAATCACGTTTTTAAAAATTAACAAGATAAAATTTGGGGGGGACATTTGAAAGGGTCTTAGAAAGCTTCCTTCAAAATGGGACCCTCTCGCTGCCGTCGAAAGCATCATAAACGTTTCGATTAATTAATAGAATGAGAACGAAATTTGCCAAAATAAAAACTATACGTAACCCATGGTTTCACACGATGAAATTTGGAGGGGACATTTGGAAAGGTCTGAGAGAGCTTTCTTCAAAAGTGGAATCCCCTAGCTGCTGCCGAAAGTATCACAAACATATTTTTGACATATAATCTTGATGTTGTAATTCTAAAAATCCGTACAGGGTAGCTTGGACGATATCTATGGGGTTACATTTGTGAAGCGTAGTTCTTAATAGTGTCTCGGACGTCTCTACGCTAACAAATTGCGTTATTCAATAGCATTTCTTTTTGGCAATTTTTAGTTTTCATAAAAAAATATTGATGCAAACGCCAATGACCCTAATAGTGCAGGATCCGAACTAGGATCGACCTTCGTCATAGTGCCAACCAGATAAAAATAACGTTTTATCTAATAAAATAAGTGAAAAGTATATACTATACACAATATGCAACTCCACAGTAGCTTACCTTTTTTAGTCCCTATTACCTGGTAGCTGAGGTCAAACAGGTAAGTTGATGTTAATAATTGCACTATTTTGTCAACCAATCCAAACAAATTTGGTCATAGTTGTGCTAGTTGTAAAACATTTAAATAAACACATAAAAAAAGGTCCACATAAACAAAATAGTAAAAAACAAAATAAAATAAAATAAAACGGAATGGAATAGATAGATAAAGACCCAACCCTAGCATGACAAACGTTGGTTTTCCAAAATATTAATATTAATATAAGAGTCGACACGACAGTAAGAACTAATATAACTAAAAAACACGAAAAGCGAAGTTCAAGACCAAGAAATATTCCACGTACCTTTCGTCGTAGAAAAGAATACAATGCTAGGATATAATTAATTGACAGTAGATCAAATGATCATTAAGTAGATTGTAACAGAACAATAAATTCTTTAAAAAAATTCTTTATTAAACAATATCAATAATATACTACCAAAAGTGATACATACATACTAATAACAGTAATAAAATATTCAGGATCAGAATCTCCGGAATGATACAACATTATGATCAAGTCAGAAGGATCTTCTTCTTCGTTTTCTTTTTCTGTCATCTCTAAAATATTATTTATTTTTAAAGGCGTCTCACTCAAATAATCATCCATAAAGTTTCTATTCAATTTCGTTTCGGCGTTGGAATTTACTTTAATCAATTTTTGATTCTGTTGAAATATCTGATATACTTCATGGAATCTTCAACATTTTTAACAAATGCATCAAAATCCTCAGTTAATTTTTCGTTAGAATCGGAGTGATAACCTTCGAACTGAGTTGAATTTTGAGTGAACTCAACGTCAGCGTATTTAAAATTATAACTTTAAAGAACAATGTTTTTAAGATGTTTCATTAAAATCAATTACCAAGTCCTTTTTTTACACAAAAAACACTTTTTCTTCGTCATTTTCAATTTTGGAAACAATAAACAACGAGTTTACAAACAGAACGGTGAACACACGCTCTGTAGTCAATTAATTTATCCTTGTTTTTACTAAGCGTGAGGAACATGTGCACTCTCTCGCAGGTGATGGCGTCTGTGCGCAGCATTGTATCCTTTTCTACGACGAGGAGTAAATACGAGGTTAGCGCCAAAATTTCCCGGCCTGACATAGATGCAGCAGCTCCAGTGTCACGATAAAATTGTGTCTTTTTAAAAATATATATCTTAGTAGGCTGCGAAAAACAAATTGAAGTCTTGCGTCAAATTGTTTTTTATTGACAGCATTTTAAACAAGACGTGTCCGAAAAAATGTCGCAAATAACGCAAATCGAGTATAGAGCAGTCATAAAGTTTTTGACAAAAGAAGGGTTAGCACCTAAAATTACTAAAGATAGGCTGGTTCGAGTGATACCACGTAATTCTATTTATTGTTATTGCTATATTTTGTTGTGGTTTTTAGCTGTTATACTCCTGTCTTTCTCTCTCTTTTCCTTTAATGAATGTAATTTTTTTTTACTTAAATTTGAATAAATTATCAGTTTTTTGCATTTCATTGAATGATTCTAACTTAACATACGTATTTTTTCAGAAGTGCCCATGAACAAAATTCAAGTTGGATCGGCCCCCTCTCCGAACTTGAAGGTGGTCAGATCCAAAATAGGCTCCCTGGACAACGCTAGTTACAAGCCGGGAGGCGGGAAAGTAAAAATCGAAAACAAGAAACTCGATTTTAAACACGCCGGGCCGAGGATCGAAGCCAAGAACGAGAAATACGTTCCCAAAGCGGGCGAGAAGAAGGTATAAGCGTAACCCGGTAGGGGTTTCGGGTTCTATCGCGCCTCTCGTTCCAGATCTTGCACCAAAAGCTTCAATGGAACGCCAAATCCAAAATCGGCTCGTTGGACAACGCCGCGTACAAACCGAAAGGCGGCGACAGGAAAATCGAGACCGTGAGGTTGGATTTCAAGGAAAAAGCCAAGCCCAAGGTCGGCTCCAAGGACAACATCAAGCATATCGCTGGCGGCGGGGACGTCAAGGTGAGTTCCGATTCGAAAACCACGCGTTTTCGACGAATCCTGTTATTTTCCCAAACTACAACTGGGTTTGTTTTCGAAAAGAAACGGGACAGCGTTACGGAAGGGCAGGTCCCTGTAGCCGAAGGCGGTGTAAGTAAAACGAAGACGTCTAGAGGCTGTTGTAAATAGGCACTGCTCACGTTTTTGAGTATTTCACTGAGGCTAATGCACAAAAGTGTTGTAGAAGTACATATATTCGCAAAATTGTACAGCGGCTGACGTTGATATCGACTTGTGGTAGCTCTAATTCGGCGCGGATTTCTATTTTATTTCCGAAAGGCTACCCAAGCAGGTAAAGATCTTAAAAGCTATAAAAAGAGATTAACCATTACTCTGTGAATTAACTATTACTTAGTATTAGTAAAATATTATTATTATTAAAATTTATTGTTGTAGCAGTATAAATTTAATCTATTCAATTCAGCTTCATCAAAGCTTTAAAAGCGATTTGTTGTTGGGTGAGCCGAAACGATCGGTACGCAAATGACGTTTCGTTTTTTCGAGGGTTGTCCTGAACCACCCTCTGCCCCGAGTGGACCGCGAAAACGGTTCCAACCTGTCGGAATATGCAAATGGGGTAATTTTTTTATGAACCGACGTCGCAAAAAGGCTTAATGAGTTGCGTGGGGGTAGCGGGAAAAATCATATTATCTTTATTTATTTATGGGTTTATGTAATATTGTAAAATGAAAAAAAACTTCTTGGAATTTACATGCCGACGTCATATTCCAGTAAATAACCCCTGGAGACTTGACCGCCTTCCTGTCGGCTGTTAAATAACGCATTGCGCGGAAAAACGAAATTCGCTTAATTCGTCGTTTAAAATGGCGTCGAAAATAGCACGGAGACGCCGTCGAACACGGAAAGAAGTGAAAGTAACCGCCGACACCGACGATCGCGAAATTTTCTTGCCTAGTTTAAATAGCCTAGCGATTTGCTTTCAGCTTGCCGTCCCCCTTCGTGTTAAGGGGTTGTTTCGGATAACCCCGGCGAAATCTTCCGGCATATCGATCCCGTGGGAATTGCGCCTTATTTTCGGAGAACACAAATTTAATTTGATTTGTGTAACCAAAATAATTTTATTTGTAGTTTTTTTTTCTGTAAACGAGAGATTAAAATAGTAAGTGCAAGGTGGGCCAAATTGGACATTTTTACAAGGAAACTCGTCCTTTTAAACCGAGAACTACTGGTACTGTGTGTTCCTGCTGACATTGCAGGATTGTTTTTAACGGCTCCTGAAACTAACATTTGGTGCAACTCATAAAGAATGAATGTACAAATTGCTTGTTGTCGTGAATTACTCTCGACATCTGTAATATACTTATTTGAAGAACTAAATTAAAAACCACGTATTAATAGAAATTCACAAGTTAACAACTACCAGAATTCAGGCTACTTGTCCAAAATTGAATCGGACTCGAACAAAATACCAAGTTTTTCTTTGTGCAAAAACTTCATATATTTCACTAAGCCAAGGATTTTAATTTGGTTTTTTTTTATTTTGTTGGCGTACTCTTCCACACCATAGAGACAATTTTCAATAAGCAGCACTTTAATAATAGTTTTTACACCTCAAAAGCCATATGTCTGTATCTATCTGGCAGCACATTGTACAAGTTAATGTTTGTAGCATTTTTGTCTGATGTAACAAGTCCGGGCTTTGGAACTCTTATAAGATTTTTTGCAAGTGTTTGATAACTATGAGATACACCTTCAAATGTACGTTTGTTAATTTCTAAAAGATTTATCTTATATATCTTATATTTTTTAAAATATGGAGTACAGTATTTATTGTGCTTAGCCTCAGCAAGGATTCTTATAGCCCTTTTCTACATCCTGAATATTTGAACGGCATTGACAGAGTTTCCCCATAATATTGTGCCATGTGAGAATCAAATAAAGCATAATACACTGTCATTAGGGCATTTTGGTATATGATCTTTCCAGTCAAGTCTACTATCGAGTGTAATGCCAAGTAATTTAGCCGACTGCCGTTCGCCGTTGTTGTATTTATCTAGCGAAAAGAATATTTTTTGAGTTTGGTCCGTATTCAGTTTCAAATAATTGTTTTTAAACCAATTGTTCGCATTGCTCTCCAGTTCCCCAATAATGTTATGTAGGTCATTCGAATTCGGACCATATAAGGTAAAACATGCACTATAAAAAATACAAGGCCGAGTACGGACCCTTGGGAGACCCCACCGGAGACCTTCACCAAACTGTTCCCTGTCTAATAAATAAGATTTTGTTAGCTTGAGGGTTCTGCCGCGAAATCCATACCTAAACAGCTTCTGTTTAAGAAGATCGTGCGAGATACACTCGAAGGCCTTGCTAAGGTCACACATTGCCAACGCCACCCGATTTCCAGTCTCAAGACCCACCACCACATCTCCCACAACCTTACTTATCATTTGTACGGTAGAGCGCCCCTCCCTAAATCCAAACTGCTCATTCCCAAAGATATCCTGCTGCTCAAAAAAATTAACTATTTGTGGTTTTATAATCCTTTCAAATATCTTACCGATATGTGGCGATTATTAATATCGCCGCTCTTAAAGATTGGAATAACTTTAGTAATTTTTTAAGTATCTGGAAAAATGCCATATTAAAAAAGAAGATAAGTGGAATTACCAGAACATCTATAAGGTTTTTTGACATTGATTTCATAAGCGTCAGAGCAATTAGACTTTCTTAAACTGGGAATCGATGCTTTCACTTCTAATTCAGTAAACAAAGTTAAGTGCAAAAGAATGAAATAACACTCCTAGCTTCTTTGCAAGAATTGCAAATTTCAATTGAGTATCGTTTAATTTTTATGTAAAGTTTTCTCTTTACTTGATCCTACTCAAAAGAATGTCTAAGTCAAAAAAGCGCTACATTTTATTGGCAAATGCTTGTACCTTCCTGTACAGAAGAATATTTTTTGCTAAAAGAATATGCTTTGAAACCTGTTAGCCCAACTACGAAAAGTATGTAATACATGTTATAAAAATGAAAAATATTTAAAAAATAACTGTACAAAAATAAAACAGAATCATTAATAAATAAAAAAGTAAAATAACATAAAAATTTTAGATAGAAAACAAGAAACTGGATATCCACGCCACCAGCAAGGTGGGATCGCTGGACAACGTGAAGCACAAGCCCGGCGGAGGCGAGAAGAAGATCTTCGACGACAAGGAGTACCTGAAGCACAAGTCGGAAAGGTCGAGTATGGAACATTCCTTGTCCGGTTCGCAGGTGAGTGTGGGATCTCGAAAATTCCCGTTTTTATCATCTGATTGCAGGAACCCGTATATCTCTATACGTTTTACTCAACCGCGGCTTGCCTCGTCAGTTCGCTCTCTTTTTTGTTTAACAAGGACATCAAACTACTCAACTGTCGAGTTGGCAACACTGCATTACACCCGTAGTGTAAACTTTTTGTCATAAAAAATTTGATATTTGTCACGTTTTAGGTTTTTCCTGTGGGTTAGTGATAATTTTAACCCGGATCAATATTGGGAAGCTCGCCGAGTACCGGAAAAATACTATACGTAGATATATCTAACGTTGCATGTCATGGTATCCTAATACGTATTGATTTGGCCGTAATGGACTGTTACGAAAATGGGACATGGCAATGGGAATTTTTAAATAGATATAATTTCGTGAGACCGCCTGCACCCTTATAATCCAAATTCAACCGTTTTTGCTGTCTAAATGCGAGAAATCCAAAAACTTTTTGATACATGCGCCTGTTTCTTTATTTTCTACTTTCAAAAATTTAATTTTCTTCCCAGACCCCAGGATAATACTAACGAGTTTATGCAACTGGCGAGTTGGTCGATTTTATTACTCTATGAACCTTTTGGGGCGACTATACCTCCTCAGTTTCACACGCTGTCATAATACTTATTGCCTTTCTTTTTTCGATAGAATTCGATTCGGTCGCAGCCCGACAAACCAGCGGCGGACGAGAACCTGAACCAGGAACACTGAAACGTGGTCAAAAAATAAATGTTCTCTAGTTGCATTAAGCCGGCGGCCAACTATCGACGGAATCGATAATATTTTTTTATATAACTGATTGGTCGTGATCGCAACGTCGATAGTTTCCGTTCCGATAACCGATAACCACTTTTCCCAGCGTTACCCTATAAATCTAGCCATAGAATATCTCTGTATAAAATCGATTTAAATCCCCGAGCATGTGTAAGTTAATTTTGCATGCACCTAAAGTTGTATAGGAGTAACACCGCTTTTTGTTATCCAGGTACGGGGCTTCCTATGTTGACGGGAAAAATGTGGAGGGGATGATTTTTGGTTTCTGCCGAAAAAAAGGTTGAGTAATATTAATATAATTGAATTTTTCGCGTCGATTTGGAAGCTCCAAATAATTAAATTGGGTAATAAATATAACACACTAATTAAGATAACTCAAAAGCGTAGCTTGTTTTTTTCCTTAACGGGCTTGATGGCAAGCAATTTTTTTACGACCAATGGTTTGTAGGAGACTCCATCGTTTTTAGTTTTTAAGGCAGTTCTGTTGACATTTAGTAGTTTTAAGTCTTTGAGTTGTCAAAAAACGAGATATTTACTGACACGACGTTACAGCGTTAAGTTTTTTGACAATACGGACAGCACCCGTTAGAGTATCAAATATGTTGCTGTATTTTTGGATTTCTAATTTTTTTTTTTAACAATAAGCCTGTGTTTTGTTAGTTCTAAGATAAGTATAAAAATAAAACTCTGCAATTATTACATAGCGTAGTTTTGATTAGCTTTCACGTTGTATTTTTAATTCGCCACTTCACGAGTAAGTAGATTTGACGGCACCCACTCACCACCTATTTTTCAAAGTAGTGCTCACTACAAGGTGATCTTTCCACTGTCAATTATTTTAATATTTTCAATTTCCCCACACATACAAGCTGACGCCGCTACTTTTTCGTGAAACCAAAGATGCCACTGGCGAAATTTTCATGGCCCTTTCAGTTTTTGAGATACAGATCTAAATTAGCAGATTGGCAGGCGGATAACTTATAGAAAATGTGAAAACTGTCTCTTGTATTACCTTTCCAGTAGAACTTCCGCATTCGTAGTATACAGGGCCATGTCAAAAAGTTATGTGAACATACTTGTTTTTTAGTGGAACACCTTGTATATTTGTAAACTATAAAATATGCCTTTTTTTATGTATTAATATGTGCACTTAAATAAACTGCTGAAAGTCGATCCAAAAATCGAGAATATTTGTTTTGTTTGTTGTCATAAACAATAGTCAAAAGTTGGAGAAAATGTGCATTATTATATATTTTGGCATAGGTAAAAAAAAGAGTCTATAAATAAACGGGGTGTTACATTAAAAAAAATAAAGTTGGCCCCGTATACTAATTGCAACGCCAGAATTGCCTTCTACGGGAAACCGGGAAAAGTTATATAAGAGCCTAAAAATGCAATACGCAATTTAGCCATGTATCTTAAAACCAAAAACGTTTTCTTACAGAGATACCCCTCAAAAGTGCCCAAAGTTGGACTTCCTGTACTATATCTCCATTATTTTTTACTGTCGTGAAAAATTCTTTTAATAAGTCTGCCGGAAAATCAAGAGATAAATATTTTCAATTTCAAAAATTTAAATCACACCTTTTCTTCTTGAATTTTAATGCGACGCTGAAAAACTTATTGGGAAAAAAAGATATTAAAAAAAAGGTATTTCCTATGATCCCGTATCTTTCATTCCGCTGCACTTGGTTTTCGCTAAACAACAGGTAAATAACAACTAAGGCACCACTTAAAATGTGAAGCATCAAACATAGAATTAATAAATTTGAAACTGAAATTTCAAAACTGCTACTAAATCTAACTGAACTTTACAGTTCGAACTAAAAAAAAAATCAAGATTTCTAATACCATATTTTCGTGAAAATCAAAGACATTGGAAAATTATTGCTGCATTTCTTCCCGGAATTGCATCTAGCCTCACTCATGAATTAAAAAAATGGAGGGTGCTTATACTTCATTTCTTCATTTAAAAATTCTTTAGGATCTCCCGCGAAGCTTCGGTGCAGGCGAAACGACAGATGATATTTTCGGCCCCTGATGATATTTTCTTATACTCGAAACGCGTCAAATAGATTCGAAGGATGTTTCTTCAACAGGAAGCCGAACACAACGCGACCGCTTACACAGACTTCGCGTCCCTTCAATACGAACCAATAACAAGCGCGAGAAGAAGGACGCTCGAAATGGTCCAGGAAGAAAGGTACCTGTCGTCCGGAAGGTTTTCAAGAACCGGATCTGTGCGATCTCGAAAATCGGCAAAAGACACTCCCAGACCGCAGTGGCGTATCTAATCGGCTCTAGTTTAAGCTTTCCCACGTGTAAATCAAATCCAACAGGCAACGCAACATGAGTAGAAACCAAACTTGTAATCTCATTCTAGCAAGCGCATTTTACACTTTTATAGACAACGCTAAGGTTTCTATGGAGAAACATGGCCTCTTTGTGTAATAAATAGAATACGCTATAAACCACCAATTTGTAATAATAACAATAACAATAATTGACATGCCTGGTTTGTTTTGTGTCCCCTTGCCAATACAAAATGGTAACGATAAAAATGATATTAGTCGTAAATCGAGTTATTACATTAACAAATCATAAAAGTTGATTTAACGACCGTTTAATTTCGCCAGATGAATTTCCAGCAGCGTTGGTTTTTCCCGAGACGTTTCCATTATTGTTTTCGCAACGTGTGGTGTCGGTAGCGAACTTCGCAAAGGTAAGACAAAAAAGAACGGAAAATAGTACCTTTCTGATTCTAATCTAATAAATTATCATTTTTCTGAATTTCTTCAAAATAAAATCAATTTTTCATTTAGAATGGTCGAAGTGTCTGAGATAAATCAAAACATATAACTCAGTGCTGCCTGTAAAAAAGTTACTTTCCTGATCGGTCGAAGTTATCAATAGCGAAGTCAGAAAAATGGACGATCGAAGCTGTTGTTGCAAAGTAGACTTCGCCGGAATGTCATTATAAAGTTATTTCTATTGGTTATGTCATTTGAACAAAAGTGGATTTTTCTTTAATCCTTTTGATTTTGTTTTCCTTAATTATCCATCCTAGTAGAATTTTGTCAAAATCCGCGATGTTTCTATAAATAACTATCAATAATTCTCCGACAACTCAAAAGTAATATTAATCGCCAGAAGCTAATATCAGCAATTGCTGTTGTGAAGCGTGAACTGTTAAGTCAAGAATTTCATTTCCCAACTAACTAAAACCCTTACTGCGTTATACAAGGAGGAAACAGCACCACCACTTTAATTTCGTGTTAAAACGTTCATGGCAGCGTATTTATTATCCGTCACTGATTAGCGGTGTAAAATAAACTGACCTGCCCCAACGCGTCACACTAGTGATCCCTCGGATCGATCCGACAAAACCGAAGTCACCCCCTCCCTCGCACGCAGCACAGCATCCCTGTCACGTCCCGGAACACCGTAGCGTAGTTTGGGGAAAGACGTCGACGAGGGTGGTTGCGTTCTTGACACTTGCCCCTCTGCGAAGGGTGTTTTGCATTGCCCGAGGTAAATATACCCTGCCGAGCATCGTTGTCGTGACGGTGTTGCGTTAATCACCCTCTATAGTTTATACGGCGACATCGTGTGGGATTCGATCTTAATAACGCGCTGGTTGAAGTGTACGATGGGCAGAAAGAAATGGGTGATAATTGGGTCAGGTATAGCTCACTGCACCATTTAAGTCGAGCAAAGCTATTGCTAATAATACATCTCCGGGAACTTTTAAAATGAACGTTGTTTATGTCACGCGGGGTATAGTATACGGCTTAGAACCTCTCTAATCACACTACTTAAATTCTTAGAACTTATACTTATGAGTCAAGATATATTTATAAGCCCTTTTTTGTCTCGTTGTTTCCTATACCCTCCGCCTTTTCTTATCAGACCTTCAGAGGGAGATACCGACAGTCCACGAGGAAATATGTCCGTCAGCGACAAAGCAGTATCCACGGAAGATCTATGCACCGATGAAGGCACGGACTCTACAGCGCTCGGCGTCTTGAAACTGGAAGCGTTCCTCAACACCCTCGTCGAGAACAAAGTCGAAGCTTTAAAAAATGAGAACGTCAAAGCTGCGAGCCTCCATTCGAGTCCTAAAAGGCTCTTTCAGCGACTCAAGGTCAACTCGTCGCCTAAAATCACCGTCAAGGTCGAGCGCGAACGCAAAACCGCCTCGAAGCATCGCCAGAGGGCCAAGCGCCGGAAGACCGTTTCGGAAGCGAGCCAGTTCAAACGTAAAGGTACAGCAAGTCCGTTGCACCTATCGCCCCAACCGTTTCTCTAATATTCGTGTTAGTTTTAAGGCAGGAACCTTCGACGTCGTCGCCGGATAGTCAAATCTGTAGGCAGCAATCTATCAGCGACGATGAGAAATATCGCTACGGTCACTTCTACAACAGCTGCGTGGAGGGCAGTTGCCTCTCGTTACCGGAGACGACCAACGTGTGCTACTGCCACGGGGAAACCCACAGGATCATGTAACTTTCGCCGGCCTGTGTGTAAATTTTGGTACCACATGGGAAGTTTTTTGATATTTGTTGTTATGCAAAAATACGTCATCAAAAGTTTCGCTTATTTTAACTTCATTTTGTTTTGTCATGGATTCGTTGCTTCCCCAGAAGGTATTCCTATGAAAAAAATTTAGTTATAGTAAGAGAGACATCCGACACCATATAGGTTCTAAATTTATGCTACTTTGATATGTTTGTTTCCCCATAACGTTGCCAAAATTTTCACCCCACGCTGCAGACGTCCCCGTAAACGAGGCGAGTTTCAGGCCAGTGGCGTGCGACGACTACGTGTCGTTAAAGATCGACGAGTACGGCGACGTGGAGACGGAGATCATGCTCGACCAGGAGGAGGTGCGCCGCGTGCGGAGGAAACGCAGACGAAGGAGGAAAAAGAAAATGAGAAAGCGGTGAGCGCCTCGAAGTTGCTGTAAGCAACCTGACCGCTCGATTTTCTCAGGCTGCCGATGAATCCGCACTTGGCCGAGACCGGCTTCGACCAAGAGAGCTTCAAGCACCTCAACGACGACGAACTACCACCTAGAGCGAAATGGACCATCGTCGCCACCGCTTGCCTGCTGCTTTTCATGTGCCTGTTGCTTGTTGGGATCACCCTCAGGATGGCTCCTATCATTGACGAAATAGGTAAGCATTTTGAGCTGATTTTAAGGTGAGGGGTAATTGGAGTAATTTCTGAACGAGATAGAGTAAAATCCGCTTATACGTCAAAGGCTCCATTTTTTTGAGAAACAAAACAAATGGTTAAAACCGCATGGTGATATCTTCACTTCCAACCGAGACATACGGTGTTTCTCAATTTTCGGCCCTTCTGAAAATTGCCAATAACTTTTTTATTTATGAAAATTTTGGATTCGAATGAAAACATTATTGGGGCATTTTTTTAAAAGGCAAATGCAGTGGCGTACTCAGATTTTTTAAACAGGTCTACGTTTTCTCACAAAACTTTGCCCGTGCCCATGTCCAGACCTTTTGCAGCAGTATATATTCGTTGGTTCAAATGATGAAGAAAAGGCGGAAATATACGTACATATCTTTTATTCTGTCACACATAATTTTGGTGGACGAACTTAACCTTCTAGTCCATTTAGCAATTTAAAATGTGTTACAGGCCAGAAATTACTTTTGGTTAAACACCTAAGTTTAGTCCACAATATTAAATAACATAATTTTAACAGGTGCCAAATAATAGGAACACAGATATGAAATCCTTGTGATAGTATAAATGGTGCATGCGCCAGTGAAACACATATTCGGCATTTTCCCCAATAAAAAAATCACGTTTGATACACGAGAATATATAGACGGATCGCAAGTGTATTTTTGGCAGTTTCAATTTTAAGAGAACAACTTCGTTTCGGACCCTTTTTTTTATTTTAAAATCGGAGTTTCCGTATCCATATTTTAAGGTAAATTCAGTTGATATCACGTTTTGTGGATTTGAATATATTGGGTAAAACGAATTTAAACAACTCCGGTAACTAGCGAGGAAGGCCACTAACAATCTGGCCTTTTATTTTCGGGCGTTATAAATGGCCATATCAAAATAACAATCACTAGTTTGTTGGGACAGCCATAGACAGGCATTTTATTTTGCCGATAACTCGCAAGAAGGTCGCCCAAGGTGAAAGGTGAAGCGCGTGTCTCGACAACCATTGAAACTAGAACATTCTAGACGATCACCAGAGAAAAACAGAGCAATAGCACTAAAATTTGGTATTTGTGAGTAATTTACATTTTCTAATGATTTTTTATATGTGTTCCAAAAGAAAAAATCCATGAAAGCGAAGTTGGCTGGCCAATCCATAGATTCGCCGTTCCTTATCCAACCCCCGGGATATTCCATGTTAAGAAACTGTTGAACTTGCACAACATTGACGGGAGGGGCACCGTCTTGCTGCCATATAATCAGCGCTGATATATTTGCTCCTCTAAGAGTTGCAAATAATGTTCTCCAGTTAACTTTTGATCCATAAATATCGGATCCAAAATTGCTAATCTATGACCCCACACCATACATTAATTGATTGGCACCCCTGGGTTTTTATTCCGTGTATTTGTCTATTATTATGTAAAGACCAATATCGCGTATTTTGTTTATGACAACCTTATCTTGTCGTATTTTTCAAAAAATTCTTATTCTCATTATGTCTATTTAAAAAATCCAAAAAAAATGCATCCCCACTTGATATTGTTCTGCACTTAGTTTTTGAGTTTTTTGAAATTTAAATGCGTTATATTTATATTTTTTCTAAACTGGTCAATAGAGGAAAAACTGAATGCGCTTCATAGAATCCTAAAATGTTTTTAGTATTTAATTCGTTACCGGTTTTTGCAAATTTCTTTGCCAACCTGTTTTGTTTTATACGTCACTTTGAAGAAAACTTGGCTACTAACCCTACATTTCGTTTTTCTGTTTCTGTTTCTGTTTCTGTTTACTAACTGCACAACTAAAATACTAATATTGCCAAAAGCTGGTGTAATTAGGTGCACTTAAATTATTTACGGGCCAAACAGCATACGGGGTAGGACCAAAAATACAAAAATTATGTAATAGTAAATTACTTTTATTTCAAAAATTTGAGCAAAATGTTATTAAGAAAAATCTATTACAATTAAAAGTTGGGAATTAATATTCAAACAGAGCCTACTATGAAAAAAATAATATTCGAAAAATATGAATCAAATCATTGTTTTTTAGAGAAACGTAAATTTTATATTTCTTATTATTAATTGACAAACATAAAGTCCTACTAAAATAACAACCGTTATCCATGATAAAGAGATGAGAGTTTGAAGAAATTTTATTTCAAATGCTAACTATGGTTTGTACATGATGGATGTCCTGCGCATTCTTCTAGAATGTTACCGAATGGTTAAATAGAGAATTTGCTAACCAATGGTGAGGAAATACTGATCCACGATTAAATATTTTTAAATTGTGTAATCACAAATTGGTTACGATTATTTATCTTAGTAACTTTATTATGGCCATCTTCTGTTTTTCTTCATTAATAGATTTTCGTAATAATAAAATTTTTAAGTATCATTAAACATCGTTGCAAGACATTAAAATTTCGCTAAAAAATTAAAAATCTTAGTTAACTTTGCAAATAAGATGGAATTGGAACAAAAGTTTTATCTTGTTGTTGATATTAACTATCTATTAATTTTAAACCACTTTTTTTGCAACATTTTACCCTTGCGTAACTTTTGTATGCTTTATCCTACCCTGGATGCTGTTTGACTTGGAAATAATTTAAGTGCACCTTATTTTCTCTATATTAGAACTTTAATTGTGCAGTCAGTAAAGAAAAAACATACAACCACAGTATATCTAATATCTAAGTCATTTAATTTAATTTAATGTCCGCGTAATTTCTATTAATATAAGCAATTGAGGTGGTTGTTTGCTCAGCAAAGAAAAGCTTAGCGATAGATTATTATTGCTACTCTTACCGTTACAAACGATTTCCTAATTCCAACCTATTAATCAGGATAATGAATACGGATAACTGACAATCAGTCAATATCAAAAAATTGATCGAGCAAAAATAAACCCCTTTTAAAAATATTTACGATAGGTACCCGTCGGCTGATCGATTTCATTACATTTCTATACTGATGCAGAATCGCGAGCTTTCGAATAAAATCCAATTGTCGAAGAAGTGCCGTCTAAGTCTTGTCGAAAATTTTCGCAACTTAAACAACTCCTCGTCAAAATAAATAATGTATCGGAAACCTGTCGGCGCCTGTCTATAACGAAATTTCGCAGATAAGGAGGAAAATTCGCCATTCTTTTATATCGGGGAATATACGAAAATTATGTAAATAACGTCAGGCTAACAATTTCGTTTACGTTAAACCGCCCTACCAGCTCTATTAATAACGTACAACGCCAGTGGCGTAGCGATCTACCTTAGCCGGTCGAGAAGATTGCTTTATCCAATATTTTTGGATTCATTACACAGGTCTAAAAAATTCAACTTTTTGACAGATGTTTTAATTTGTAAAACTGAGTTTATGAAGTGTCCAAGTGGCATTAACGATTTTAGACCAATTAGTTTGTTGCCAACCATCTCAAAGATTTCATTGGTCAAATTTTCTTGGTCAGAGATACCAAAGAGTAGTTATATTATTCTGGGACCTATTCTGTTTTTAGTTTATGCTTTCTCTACTTTTCTTAAATTTCCAGCAGTAGTCTGCCGTCATCGTTATGCTCCCCTTGCCTTGGTATCGCCGTTCCATTTCCTTATTGTCCTGGTGAAACCTCTCTTCCTGTTCTTCGCTAACTGCTCCATGATGATAGTTCAAGTGTGGAAACAGGAAATGAACTTTCAAACTCATATTACAACCTAGACGATGAAAGTGTTGTAACATATTTTGAACAATACTTTTTTCCTAGGGCTTTAACAAACTCCTTCATCAAGTAAGGCTTGACATGAAGAGGAGGCAGTAAAACATTTTAGGGGACAACTAAACTAGCTACGTTTTTGCTACCAGGTGCTCTAGACTTGTTCTAGAGGGTCCAATGTCTATCTCGAAATATTGTAAAACCGCACTGTTATCCTAGGAGCATGCACAGCAATTTAAGGTCCATCACAAAGCATCCACTGATGTTTTTGGTAGTTTATTCCTGAGTAAAATATTGACATAACTCTTTTTCGGATACTAGATATGAGATCTGGGGGGACTTAAATATTGGGTTGTTCGGAAAGTCATTTCGTTTTTTTTGGGGAACATGAAAGACAGTTTTCGTATAATGAATAAATATTTTATTAAATTATATATTGGCCATTCTGGTCCAACACCTTTTGCCATCTTTCTGGCAGTAACATAATTCCCCTCCCATAAAAGTTTTGGTCCTTGCTGGCAAAAAACTGGTTCAGGTGGTTTTTGACATCTTCATTTGAGGTAAAGGTTTTGCCATCCAAAAAATTTTGCAGGGACCGGAACAAATAGTAGTCGGAATTCGCCAGATCTGGAGAATATGGTGGATGTTGCAGTACGTCCCATTGAAGCTGTAAAAGTTTTTGGCGAGTGACCAAACTTGTGTGAGGTCTCGCATTATCCTGGTGGAACACTACACCCTTCCTGTTGATTAATTCGGGCCTCTTCTCTTTAAGTGAATCATTCAATTTGTCCAGTTGATGGCAATAGACTTCTGAATTAATCGTTGTATTGTCCGGCAAAAGCTCAAAAAAAACGATTCCTTTGACATCCCACCAAACGGAGAGCATCACCTTTTTTTGGTGAATGTTGGCTTTTGACACGCTTTGAGCCGGTTCATCTTTTCTGCTCCATGACCTCTTGCGTTTAACATTGTTGTATACAACCCACTTTTTCGTTCCCAATAATAATCCGCTTCAAAAATGGATCATTTTCTTGACGTTTGAGGAGCGAATCACACACGTCAACGCGACGACACAAATTTCACTCCGTAAGGACATGGGGCACCCACACATCGAGCTTCGAGGTTAAGCCCATGCCTTTCAAATGGCCATAAACAGTCGAATTCGACAAATCTAATCTCTCACCGATCTCTCGTGTGGTTATTCGCCGATTTGCATCAACTAATGCCTTTATCGCATCTTTGTCAGCTTCGACCGGCCTTCCAGACCGTGGTG